CTCTGTAAAAAACAGAACTGCATCATTAGAATTCCACTCATTAGTGTAGAAGATGAAGTATAGAAGTGCATAGTTTGGGACACAGAATTAGATCAGCCATTGTGACTTGTTCAACAGTCCTACAGCTCCAGTGGCTGATTATAGTTCTGCTGTGCCGCTCATGAAACATTTCCAAGAGAAAGTTTATTGGTAGGTTTATATAAAATAAAAAAATTAAAGGTAATTCAAAATTAAGGATTCATTTATTGAGATAAACTGTATAATTGATCTTGCAAAGTATCTCTTAGCTGTGTGTATATATAACGAGGTTGCTGTCGGCTTCTTATTCAAAATTTCCACTCTATGCATAAGATGCCTGAATGTGACTGCTGCACCATTCAATGCGGAATGGAAAATTTGCAATAATTTTTTGCAATCATTCTGGTTTATTTTGCTTGGACTTCCTCTACCTGCAGGGTTGTAGCTGCAGCAACTGTGACGAGACAATGTGTTGCAACTTGCCTACCAAAATGACAGTGGACCTTCTCAATGATGAGGATATTTTTAACATATTATGCAAAAGATAAACATACCAAAGATTGGAGAAATTCAGTGACTTCACTCCAGACCTGTTCTTTCTTATGGTATTCCTGTAATTGTTTATCCTCATTATTGACCACAGTGCACTATGAATATATTATCTCTGGTTTCAGATCTGCCGCTGTCTTTTCCAAATCTGTCTGGTTCTGATGTTTAATGGAGCACCACCAGAACTGCAGGCTTGTTTTCTAGAAATGAAGCACATTTTAGTGAATGGTTAAAAGCTAATGAGGTGTAGGTGTTTAGGAATTAGTACCTGTATTGGAGTTTCTTACCGGGAACACCTTTCAGTGCAGCTTCAACGTCTGAAGTGCAAAAGTGCAGAACTTCACAACAGCTTTAATTTCTTCTTTACTTTCCTCTGTGGAAACTCTGTGCAGCTTTCGTCTGATTTTTTCGTAAACTGTGCCCAAATTTCCTTGTCTATTTCAGACTCATTCAGGATTAACAGAACTCTTTTGGTAGGGAAATGGCACACAGACAGGGCAAAATCACAAACTGTATTATAGATTACTTTATATGCCATTTCTTTCTTATAAGTAGATCAGCTACAGTGTAATGTGTACACTATTCATGTAAAGCCTTGTTAATGCAGATGTATTTTCTCCTTCATCTACTCTGCTGTTTAATTCTGTTCAGGCCAGCGCTGCTGCTTGGTTTATAACAGAAGGAGCGGTAGTGAAAGGGCGAGTTCTGAATCAAATTCTGGTCAGTATGATTAGGCTCACTGTCGTTCTACAAAAGGGTTGTCCCTCTCTGGATAACAGATTTAAAAACTTGGTTTAGCCTACAGGTTTTATCAGTGGAGCATTTAGTGTCTTAAAGTGTAAACCGTATAAATCACTTACTTTTCATCCTCCTTTCCTGAGAAGAAAAATCAACAATTAAACGGTAAATTGTTGACTTAAACGTTGCGCTGTTTGTCTTCATAAAAAGCTAGAAAGAAAAATGAAGTTTACTTTCACTTTGTGAAACGCGCTGGTTACGCAATCACGTCACAGCTGCTGTTTAGCTGCAGCGAGAAACTAGGCAGTGTATGGAGACGCAGAGGTGACCAAATAAATAAACCAATATAACAAATGAATGAGAAGAGAAAAGCATAAATAAGACAGGAAATCCACATGAAGGAAATGTATTATATCAACACAATTATTGTTGGCAAAGGAAATTGTGCAGATGTAACATATATTGTGTTGATGTGATTGATTTCACTCATGTGGAACTCATTTGAATCAAGTAAACTCAAAGCAACACGTTACAGAGTAAAATCATAAACAGAAAAGGGACAGAAATGCATGAATAAAGAAATGAATAAACATATAGGGTCACTTTGTCACCCCAGGGTAAGATGCCCCCTTATTTTCTCTCCTGATCAAATGATGAGGCAGGATCTAATCTCAATGCGTTTACTGAGTGGCTATGTTATAATTTATTCTGCAATGTCATCTGGATCACTGCATTCCTTAGATTTACTCTCCTGGGTCTGTTGATCTAATTTTCTCAGTAGATTATAGGGATCTATGCATTTTTATTAAGTTGTGACAGAAAAGGGTTGTTAGAGAGAGTAGTACATTTGATTTTGAAAGAAGAGAGAGTGAAAGAGTGTGAGAGAGAGAGAGAAACGTTTTAAATATCATTCTTAGCCATCTGGATCTAGGGGTCGGTCTCACAATGCAGTATTTCCTACCTACCCAGCTAACATTGGTGGTAGTGGTGATAGTGTTGCTTTTTTTTTTTTTTCTCCCCAATTTAGTCGTCTCCAATTCCACCCGTTAGTTAGGACTCCCCCAGTCACACGATGCTATCAACGCTAGGAGGGTGAAGGCTAACACAGGGGAGGGAGAAGGAGGGGCCATCCTACCCACCCAGAGAGAGCGAGGCCAATTGTGCTCTCTTGGACTCCCGGCTACGGATGGCTGTAGCATCACCAGGGATCGAACTCGCGATCTCCTGATGATAGGGCCAACCTTAGACGGTTGGGTCACTCGGGAGCCAGTGTTACTTTTTTACCATTATAAATGCTTTAATTTCTATATATTTAGGTAGTATGTTTTCTTTTTCCTCCTGTAGCAGCTCCTTCTCACGTTTTAAGTGATTCACTGTTTGATGTGAACGTTACTCTTTCATATGCATGTGCGCTGTCGGAAAAAGAAAGAAGTTAGATTTAGAATCAGAATCAGAATCAGAATCGAGCTTTATTGGCCAAGTATGCTTACACATACAAGGAATTTGCTTTTGGTTACAGAAGCACACAGTGCACAGTATCAGACAGACATTTACATGTAGTGAATAAAATAAAATAAAATAAAATAAATATAAAATAAAATACAATAAAAAATAAAATACAAAAAAATAAAACATGCATTCCTACCATCACTCACTTACACACACACACACACACACACACACACACACACACACACAGTCATACCTGTAACCTTTACATTGTGCAAAGTATGTGTCTTAAGTTAAAGTGCTGAGTGCAGCAGCAGTTAAAGGGTGCGTAGTGGCAGAGAAAGGGATCAGCGAGGAACAGTCAGATAAGTGGGGAAATAAGGCGGGTAAATAAGATGCTAGAATAAACACTGGTCTGTGACAGTAGTTTCACAGGATGGATTTTGGCTCCAAGTGTGTATGATTTGAGACACAATTAATCACTTTTTCCTCCTCACTCGAGCATCTTAGACAACATAATGGTACAGTAATACCCTGGAAGTTGTTAGGGCGACCCCCGGTGGTTGTGGGGCCCTACGTAGCTGCCTATATTGCTTATTGGGTAGAGCTGGCACTGTAATACTGTAATCATATTTTCATCAGTATAATGTTGATTTTACATTTGAGACCTAAACCTTGAGGCGGACCTTTTTTTAAGAATGTGCTTGTGACATTAAATTGTAAAGAAGTATGATGTGGTACAAAAAAGTCCCATGAAATCTGAGCTGATGCCTCTGAATTATTATTTCAGGCTTTGCAGGGTGACTTGCAGCAGTGCACGCACCCCATATTTAGTGGGGGCACAGCAGAGCAGCTAAAGACAGATGGACATTCTGGGAGTGCCGCTGAGGGCGATGAGGAACCTGAGTGTGAGACACAGAGAAAAAAAGCCATTTGCGTTCATAACCACATCACCATCAGGTTTGTAATGTTAAAGAACTCTGTTAGTCTGTTTATATGGCGTCTATAAATATTTGTAGGTTTGTGATGCTTGAAAGTAACTTCAACAGCCATGTAATATTTAGATAAGGTTGATGTTGGACGTTTTCTGTAGTGTTACTTTGCTGTAGAAAATTTCTGTGGAATTACTCAAATTGATTTTTTTTACTCCAGATATCATAGAACAATGTTTTTGCTGTGGTTTGATTTTAGTAAAAATGGCTTCAAAAGCTCTATTTGTGTGTTCCTCGTTCTTTATACTTCCGTCACCAGTTCAATGTTTCAATGCCACAGCGCCCTTGACAAAATGGGGGGTCGCAGCACATGGAATTTACCAGTTAGCCCACACAGGAATGAAGAGAAGAGTAGACACGTACTTGCTGTCTCTAAGTTTTGTCTTCATATCATGCATACTTCATAAACGTCCCAAGTACTGAAGAGTCATATTGTAATATTTGTGGTAATGGAAATAATTATGATGTGAAGAAGCAGTGAAGAGGCGTTATTGGAGTATGATAGCGTTTGGTCACGTACATCTCACTTTATTTTGGCTGTTTAAATGAAAGTGATCCCATTGAGACCCTGGCTCTCTTTCTTGAGTCCTCCATAATAGTTCTGTTTAATTAACGGAACAATCTCTGTGAAGATTTCTGTCCATGTACGTGTTACTCAGTCTTTCTCAAGGAACCCCTTGAGTTCGGATTTTTTTCACACACTTTCGAACTTCCTCTGGGTAAGTGGGCAAAAATGGGTTCAAGCACGAAATAGGTCAATTATAGTTGTCTTTTTTATTTGGATCAGTGTACAAACAATGCAGGAACCAGGTATAAAATGTCTGAAATATGACTACTGAAAACAACAGAAACCATTTTGGAGTTCACCTGTTTAACCTCATGGAAGAAGCCCGGGGTATTTGAATCGGTTTTCAGTGACGTAACAAAGCTTCGTTGGCAGTTATCACGTGACTCCAGAGGGGTGCACCTGTACATTCGCACCATGTAGGAGTCTACTTTGTCTAACTAGGTCAGAGGGTGGTCCCATGTACTTTTGGTTACTGGCCAGGGAAGCTTCCCACCCCCCGTGTTTTTCTTTGAAATGGCTGAAACTCCACCTTCTGACCCTAAAAATCATCAAACATGACTGTTCCCCTTTAATAATATTAACAGATTATCAATATTAATAAAGTCATATTATAAGAATTTTCTAGTGTATTTGTCACAAATCAGCTGCAGCGGCTTTTGCCCTAATTTAGTTACCATTTACTTTTCATACTAATTGTCTTTCTGGCTGATCTTCACCATAACAATCTTCAGAGGTTCTTCATGGTCTCACAGCTGGTACAGGTACCTCAAGTCCTCCTGTGGGCTCTCACTCCATGACCTGAAACATACAGTTCATCTTGACTTTGTCTTTTTTATTTTTACTTATGCATATTTTTATACAGTAGGTACAGAAGGTTTTTATACAGTAGTGCTGTAATCTGACATACAACAAACACCTTAGCTTTCAGCCATGTCGAAAACCCACTGAAAGCCACAGAATTCTTTTGACACTACTAGACCTCTGTCCTCAAAGAACAGGCAGTCCACTGTGATTGTATCCTTCCTGTTTACAAATGTGCTGCTGTCTGTGTTTTTAACCTTTAATCTAAAGTAATCTTTTTTTGTTGTTTTTCTTGAAAAAAACTTGTCATAATTTTTTTATCAGTTTGCTTGCTAGAAGATGTTTTTTTGTGTGTTATAATGTTACCCCTATGCTAAAGCATAGGTTTGGATACATTTAACATGTTTTTGTTCTGTTCACCATGACGGTATGATGATGTTTTGTGCCCATATTCACCAATACAGCTTGTCTTGTTAAAGTAAACTGGTGGCAGCTTGAAGCTTAGCAGTTGTTAGCTGGGCTTTGAGTAGGCAGCCCTGTTAGCTTTTATGGTTCTCTATTATTAGGGTATCACATGTTTGAATCCTAGCTATGCTACAACCCCAAAAAGTCACTAATTATTAACACATTATCTATAGAGAATGCAGAAAAAACATCTCACCGCACTTAACCAGCTGGCAACTCTGGCCAGTGCTTTATCATTATTCTGGCATCTCAGTAGTCCATGATGATCCTCATGGAACAGACAGTCCACTGCAATTGTCTTCTCTCTGGTCACAGATGCACTGCTGTCATGAACAAAGCTCTCTGGGTTTAAAGTGTGATGAAGCACCACTAGAACAGCAGGTTTAGAACCTGTGAAACATGTGAAGCAAATACATTTTAGTATACTTTCAGGGGACCCTTAGATATCTTCAATTTGTATATTGGGTTTCAAATAAAATACTGTGTTTAAAAATTAGTATTACTTCTTTTGCCTACTTGCAGATATTAAAACACTTTTGTACTTGAAAATGCCAGAGAAATCTTCTGACCCATGAGTTACCTGCTACACTATGAAGGGTTTCTTGTGTGTGTTTAATATCAAAATCGGCTTGTGAAACAACAGGGTAAAACCCAAAGACGACATCACACTCTTCCACTGAAGACACCTCCTGCAGTGCTGGGACTAGTTTACTGAGTAGTCCAAGAAAGCGTTTGTGAGAATCCAGTGTGTTTACACTGATAACAGAGAAGTATTTAACTGTCCTCTGGGGAAAGTCCAAATGCTTCTGTCCAGAACCTGCGAATCAAACAACAGTTTAGAGATGCATCAATGAATTACGATGGATTGCATGGCTTCCCGTATGTCATTACTCTCTCTCCATATATATATACATTAATTCAATAAAAAAATTGTCACCAACCTTGACTTACTACTTCAGGCATTTTCTGTAAAAACGAAAGAAAGAAAAAGAGATACTTTATCTCAAACACAGGACAATAATAGCCCAATACATAATAATCATACTTTTGCTGAAGCCCTTTTCACACACAAACCACAGGTAATCACCAGGATCCATTTAGCAGGATGCATGTGTTCATACATGCTATGAAAGTACCGGTAAACAGGGCACAACATCTTCAGTAAAAGCTTGACCCAAAGGCCCAAAACTTCTGAGTGCTGTGAATATAATTTCAACAGGTGTAAAAACAGCATTGCCAATTCTGCTTCCACTGACAAAATCTTCTCTGCTGAACCTAGAGATATACGCTTCATATAGTGTAGCCTACACACCAAGATCTGAATCAGACCTTTCACCCCAGAGAGCATTAAGAGTATAACTTACAATATAATATAAACAGGTTTAAAATACTCACTCTGACTGTGTAAAAGCTGCTGAAATTTCAACCAAAATTAATCTTAAAAACTATTGCCATTTTCAATCACAATGTTTATAACCTAGTTCATTAAACACTCTAGATTTGTTAAGGAACCATTTACATGCTTTAAGTGTTCTTCGCATGGTGAAACGGTTGTGTAAGTGTCTATATAGAACCTTTTTGGTTCTATATAGCACCAAAAAGGGTTCTTCTATAGTTACAGTGCCAAATGTAATAGCAGAACACATTTTCAAAAAGGTTCTATAGAACCATATAGAACAATCTTTTAAAACACTCTGGAAAAATTTAGTGTAAACTTCTCTAAATGTTTGTTCACTGAGTCTGACCTGCAGTGGGACCCTAGCATCGAAACCCCAAGGTTAAGAAAAACATTTTGTTCTTTAGTCAGTTTATTCGGCTGGTTCACAGTATGTAAGAATGACAAAGCATCTGCTCCCTGCTCACTCTTCCTCTTTGATGCTTCTGCCTCTTCACCATTGTCCTCATCATCACCTGCACACTGTTTAGCGAGTGCAAGATACTAGGGATGCAGTGGTACAATGGGGTCATGGTTTGATATGTATCAGTTTTGGGCTATGGTAACAGTACAGGTTAGGTATCTTTATATTTAAAAAAAAAAAAAACATTACCCTTTAAACAATGAACTCCTAATTTTGTCTGTAGACAATACCATGGTTCACATGTGAGTATTGGACCGTAGGGGGTGTACCAACCGCATCCCTACTTTTAACAAGTGCTGGCTAGATAGATTGGATTTCTAGACCTTACTCCAATCTAAGAAATTAGAGTCTGCTGTTTATTGACCATTTGAAAAAATGCAGAAATCCAATTAAGTGCATGTAACCGCACTCAGTGTTGAAGAGATTTCACTGATGGAAAGATACCTGAGTCTCAATCCATGCTGAAACTCTGCTGAAAGCCTCATCATTCTTACTGCACTGCAGCAGTCCTTTATCCTCATGGAACAGACAGTCCACTGCGAGTGTTTTCTCTCTGTTTACTGATCTGCTGCTGTCTGGAACAATGAGCTCTGGGTCAAATGTGTGATGGAGCACCACCAGAACAGCAGGCTTAGAACCTGTAAAACAAATACATTTGAGTTGAATTACTGTAATATTTCAGTTTGAATAAAATATTTTTGAGTAAAGATTACGCTTTAAAAATTGTAGAATAAATTGTTTTATGATGTCTAAAACTTAAGGGACTCAAAAATGCCAGAGAAATATTTCAGTTTCTTACACTACACAGTGATTTCGGAGCATTGCCACTATCACTACCAGCAAATCTGTTAGAGTAATGAGTATCAGTATATGCATTACCAGACATATCATTAGGTTGTTGCAGTGCTTTTTCAGTGTCAAGTCCAGCCAGTGATACAACAGGACAGAAAGCCAGAATGACATCACACTCCTCTACTGTAGGCACCTCCTGCAGTTCTGCTCTTCGTTTGCAGAGAATTCTCACAAATTCCTCATGAGAGCCCAGAGTGTTCCCAATAACACAAGTTAAAAAATTAAGCTTTCCAAGATGGAGACTGACCTGTGGCAGATCTGGAAAAAGATTCTCATAAATTGGTATGAACATTTAAAAAATAAACAAAATAAATGACTGTATTCTACTCTGGAAAAGCTCTCAGAGAAACATCAAAGAACAGTGAAGGACTAAATACATTTTTAATAACATTTAGGCTGCTATGCTTAATAACTGGGAACAATCTAGTATATACACATTTATACAATACTATTTGATGCAAGACTATCACAGTGTACTTAACAAAAGAAACTGTGGGCCAGTTTCCCAGACAGGACTATATTTTTCAGTGGAAAATATCCATTCAAAATCCTGTGTAGTCTAGGACTAGCCTTGTCTGGGAAAAAAACAATATTAACAATATTAATAAAAATGTATTTTATACTTCATTTACTTACATTCCCTCTCAAACACAACAGTGTATTACAAAGCCCTCAAAACGTATCAGGACAGAAGAATCAACAATTCTTCATTTCTTTTTATTTTGTTATTTATTCATGAAGTAGCATATCACACAATTTGTTCTTAATATTTACAGTATTCGTTCATGTTTTTACCATGAATGATTTTACCATTTAATGTATTCATTCATGATCTGTTCCCATGATCTTTTATTATTATTCATAAATAATACATGAATAATAATAACAATAATAATACTACAAGGAGCATCTAGTAATACAATATAATATAACTTAACATGATACAATATATAAGGTGGATTTAGTGATTCCGGGGCTCTGGGCAATAGGATAGCAGGAATGGGACCCTGGATGCATATTTTTTAAATGGTGCAACTGTTTACATTACACAAAATGATATCTTTGCATGTGAAATCATCTTTAATCTCGTCACTGTATCTAAAAGTTCTCATTTTGAGACTTTGTAAAACAAGATTATTTAACTTGTTTCTAGATATTTTACTTCATAATTTACTTTAAAAAATAATAAAACATAGTTTTTAAACTATCTCACTTAATTTACAGATAATTTTGCTTGTTCGAAGAAATAATACTTAAAAAACAACATTATCTGCCAATATATTGTGATCATTTGGTTCAGAGTAACACAGATGTAAAGTTATTCTTCACATGAAGCAATGAGTAATGTAATTCCATTACATTCTGAGAGAAGAATTTAATGCATACTTACATCTTTTTTGAGGAACTACCCCAACACTGGAGCTATCTATACTAACATTAACACTAGCATTCTGTACAGACTGTTCTGACTGAAAATTAGCCTTTGCTTTCCTCACAATTTTTGTGTTCTTTCTGTTACACTTTATTTGATTTTCTTTATTTGAACGCCAAGAAAATCACACTGAAGAAGCTCCTCTCCATAATTATTGATTATTGCTTAACTGTCTTGTTCATACTGTTTTGCCTTTAGCAGTTGTGTCATAATGTAGCAACATGAAATAGTCCATTATAACCCTGACCAGGGGGTGCTGTTGTATTGAAATTACTGAAAAGAATCAATCGCAAAAACAATTAATATGTCTATATATTTTGGAATAGGTAATTTAACCTCACCATGTACAGTATATCTAATTTGTATTTTTATGGGGCCCTTGGCTCATGGGGGCTCTAGGTGGATGCTTACTTTTGCCTAGTGCAAAGATCGCCCCAGCCTGGAGCTGTCAGTGTTCATTTAGTATGAGTACTGGGCCAGTCCTGAAGCGCATGGCTCATCAATGGTCATTATTTTTTTAGTCTTTCTCTTAAATGTTTTCATTAGTTTTCCTTCAGCTCATGATCCTCATTCATTCATTAAGCTTCATAAAACAAAACTCTCTTCTTATATTTACCGTTTCTTAATAATTTATTGAACGTTTCTTCATGATCTGTTCCTGGTAGTTATTATATACATTAGTTAATAATAGTTACTAAATCAGTTAACCTTATAGTTACTATATTAGTTAATTTTAGTTATTATAGTTAACCTTAGTTACTATATTAGTTAGAGGTATATTAATGAGTATATTAGAGGTATTCTGGAATCAAGTGCTGAGGTCTAATGAAAAGAAATGTAACTATTTGGCTACTATCACCAACGGTACATTTGGAGAAAAATAGAATAACTTACGCACATACGACATATGTTAAATTCAGCAAATAGTCTGAGGTGTTAAACCCCTTAAATGGCCAGGGCCCACTAGCCGGCTCAAATTTTTGTTACACACTCTATAACCTCAGAACAGCTCAACCAGTTTGCATTGAAGTCCCTGTATTTACTGAATAATAAACTGTAGTATATATTTAAGCCTGAGATTTTAGGGGGTTAATGGTACTGATATCCAGTTATAGAAACCAAAAAAACCCAGATTAGTGGTACATATACACTGAATGACCAGAGTACTGGTCTAAAATCCAGGTAGTATTCATTGTTCACTGTATTCATCAGACTGAAAATCTGATAACAGCTTTAATCCAGTATAAGAAATCATAGCATGAAAATGAATACTTGAATAATGGGGTAACTGCTCGAGTCTAATGATTGAATAATTACTGTGTATGTAAATAGATTTGGTTTCTTTTCATTCTATTTCTTTACAGTACATTTTGAGACTTGCTTGTCTGTGTTGGCTTTGACAGGGCTTTACTTGTTCTCTACTTTAGTTCCAGTACAAAAGTAATAAAGTAATCTTCAGACAACAGACATGCCTTTCCTGATTCAATACATTTACAGTAAAGGACAAATTAAGTAAATATAATTTTTCAGTGGAATGTTTATCAGTTTAAAGGGGAATTCCACCAACTTTTTTCTAATTGTCAGAATAATTAAATGGTTAATACATAAACAAAGTTATTCAGAATGGTTGATGTGCCATTCTAGAATAATGTACAGAGTCAGAATCACTCACAACATTAGTGATAGGAACCAGACATTTTGCATTCATACAAAACATTAATGACAGAGAAGTATATGTACTGTAAGGCAGATCCCCATTTTTTTTTTTAGATGTATCACTATTTTGCCATCATCAACATTACATTATTAAGCCTCATACATTCCTTTAGGACCGGAGACTGAAATTTAAAACTGCTTCATTCTGTTGCTTTCTGGCAAACTATGTGAAACATTAATCTTTAATCAAAGGTTAAATCAAATGACTTTCCTTAATCAAACTGTGAAAAATCCCTCTATGACAGTTAACGTGATGCAATGTCAGAAATTAATGAATTAATCCTTGTCAAATTTGAATGACACCTCAAGACCAGCAGAGAATACTGCTGGGACTTAAGCGTTACACAGAGTGCAGCAGCTGGACAAATCACTTACTTTGATTTCATGTATCCACCATAGTCTGAATCCAAGGTTATTAAATGGTTCAGAGCAAACCAGGCAGTTAAATCAGTTACCGTGTTGCAAATTTTGAAGCAGTATATCAGATAAAATAGCTCTGGCTGTGTACTGGAATATTTAGAGCTGCACATCGTACCGTTAAATAAATAAATAATTAAATAATAATTTATGTCGTTCACACATTGAAATACTACTTCCTACCTCTGGGCACAATCAGTACGCAAACAGTATGTAATCAGCTATTTCAAACACAACCATTGATCTAGATCAGGGGTGCAGAACTGCAGTCCCGGAGGGCCAGTGTCCAGCACAGTTCAGTGATTTACCTGTTCAAACACACCTGATTCAACTCAACTGTTAACTGCCAGGTTTAATGGGTGTGTTTGTAGGGGAACTACAAAACTTTGCTGGACACTGGCTCTCCAGGACTGGAGTTAAACTCTACTGATCTAGAGGTTTGTTCAGATGTTGGTCTAGAATTTGAAGTGAAGAAGGAACAGCTACTGTCAGACGAGATGTAGAACTGCATGAGTGCAATAGCAGAAAAAAAGCTACAAAAGAGCAAATGAAGTTGTTTGTTAACAAATTTTAAAGCTGAAACTTACTTGTTTCTCCTCCTTCTCTGTCTGTCCTAACCCCAGATGCAGCTTCAGGTTGCTCTCCGTCTTGGTCAATTCCTCCAAACTGACATCCTATGTTAAAATAATGACCACTGACTTGAAAAGAAAGTCTCTTAGATAACAACTAAGATGAAAGGCCACATGAGCAGCAGTTCTCTGTTGAGCTGCAACAATCATACTGTATTCAGGTCTGGATATTGCACATAATGAATGACTTGCACATACTTGCACATAATTTATGAAAATGCCTGTTAAATGAGGACACATTATATGTGCATCAACATTTTAGAACCAACAGTCGTAATATTATAAGTTGAAGTTTTTTTATACACACACTTCATGGTGTGTAATACTGCTTTGATCATACAGTACTTGAAATATTTAGATATATGACAACTTTTAACAGGCTGAGAACACAAGTTACTATGCTTTCTACAATTTTCTGTACATATATGCAAGTTAATAACGGTATGGTGATCTGATTGCTTTACATTAATGAACATGCAAGATAAAGGCGCATTAATAACTTAATCTGTAATCTATGACATTTATTACTTTGCTAAGCTGAGAGGCTGTTCTACCTTAGAAAGTAAGCAATTAAAGTAAGTCATTATTAGGTAAACCTAATGTGAGCTGTACCTGGAGCTCTCCTTGAACTTGAAGGTGCCTCAAGCTCTCTTTCTGGTTCACCTTTGCAAAGAAAAAAATGAAAACACAAAGTTATTTATCAATTTAAATGCATATATTGTTTTAAGTATCTAGCACTATATAGCATCACCAAACACTGTATGCAATGTATACTTTGTGGCTCAAGCTTTATACCGTGAATGGGCTTTTAACTCATTAATAGGTAATAAACTTAAACTCTAGGAATGTTTCAATTTTGAAATTCCTCTACAATAAACTCACTTGTCACTGACAGTTGTAGTTAACCCTTTCCAGCCTAGTGATGGCATCATGCTTATCAAAGCTGATCTTCACACTGCCTGGGTGCATCTTAGTTCTTTAATTATGCCTCTTTACTCCCTTTCCCTACATGTTTTCCTCACATCTTAGCTCCTCCCTTTGAGGACATGACGAAGAGATGCAGAACAAGATGTGAAGGTGGAAGATCTATGTCACTGGTCTCAGCTCCAGTCCTGGTGAACCACTGTCCTGAATAATTCCCACTCCAACACACCTGATCCAACTTATAAAAGGCTTGATAATTGACTGATAAGCGGGTTCAGGCAGGGCTGGACTGGGATGGGCTGAGAATCATGGCAGGACTCAAGCCACACAAGTACTCACAGCTACTGTATCTGCATGAATAGGTGTTTAGTATGGGCTTTTATATGTATGTTTAGGGTAATAAAAATTACCCTCCATAACTGCCCACTCCTTAATTACCAGCTCACTCACCTTAACTGTTCCAGATTTTTTTGATACACACACGTCATGGTGTGAATAATGCTTTGATCATACAGTACTTGAAATACTTGGATATATTAAGTTTTAAAGCTCTCTAAGAACCCAGCTTTTAACAGGCTGAGAACACAAGTTACTATACTTTCTGCAATTATCTGTAGATATATGCAAGTTGTTTTTCCTGATCAAACTGCTGTGTACTGACTGGCAAAACTGTACTTTTAAGAGCATCTATCTATATTTTGTGAATTTGGACAGCGCAGTGAAACATCAAATATAGAGAATATTTAACTGATAGTTAGCTTGTTAGCTAACGTTAACGCTGTAGGCTACAAAAAACGCTGTATGCTACAAAACACCAAAGCAAACCTAAACTAATGAATTAGTTCTTATATGTCTGACCTGTCTCTTCCTTGCTGAACAAATCAGTAATTTCAAATCAGTAAAAACACCTAGCAGCTTCTTCCTCCAGTGCTTTTCTTTTTTTTAATCCTTTCCCTCTCCGCGCCACTTTTCCTCTTCTCCTCCACTTCTTGGCGATAAGCACAAACTCGCTAACTTTATTAATGCGCGCGAGCAGGTAATGAGTGTTTGTTTACACGCTACGTCACGGCACAAAGACGTGATTGGCGAAACAGGACTGCAGAGACAGTGTGAGTTCAAGCTGTCCTGTGTTGTTTAGCTCATCATAGCACAGGACGTCATCCAGGTATCTTTGACATACTGGAGAAATTATGTTGGTCACGTGCTGTACACCTTTGGTATGTGGTATGTGGTAAGCTATTTCAAACATAGCCATTGATCTAGGTTGAGGATTGTCCAGATGTTGGTCTAGAATTTAAAATGAAGAAGGAACAGCTACTGAGATGAGATGTAGAACTGAGTGTAATTCAAGGTAGCATTTATCCATTTGATTTAGGGTTTTATTAAATAGTATAGAATGGACATTCCCAGTAGAAAAGTCTTAATTGAAATATATTGGAAAATTAGGGGTTATTTAATTGTCATGTAGTGATTTTCTGAATTATTAACAGCATTACACACAATTATGTGAATTTCCAACTGTATCAGTTAAGGTGCTGAGAGCAAAGTCAGTCTGAAAAATAAACCTGAAGAAAAACAAAATGTTTAACATTCTATTCTGTTATAAATCGAATGTTGCTGTAGTTTTGAGGGAAAGAGCTTCGAAAGATGTATAATATTTCTTTATGTTCCATTACTTACTTGATGGAAGCGGTCTTCCTTTTTTCTGTGGAGTAAAATATCAAGCATGTTATGACTCATTTTCAAACAAAAAGAGACTCAGTGATGTCAGTAATAAACTGATAAATAATGTATTACATTATGTATAATGTAATGTATTATGTATCGTAATGATGAAAAAACAGAAAATTCAAATTTCCACATTTTTCTCCTTACCCCAGATGCTGCCAAGATATTTTGGTAAGTTTGCTTCTTTAGGTTCACACTGAAGTTCTGAGGCTAACATAGCTAACAATTAATGCTGCTATGCAGACTGTAGCTCTCTCATTCAAACGCAGCTTTAAGAGTCTTTTGTGTTGCTTGTATAGCGTCTAGAGCCACATAATTACATGCAAAGGGTGTAACAAATTAGAAATATTGTTGTGTTTATCACCATCACAGTTTCAGTTTTGGTTAGGTTAGATTTATTTTACCAAGTTATTTTATTTGCTCAAGTTCTCCATTTTTTATAACGGAAAGCAGTGGTGAAGGTGAAACACAAGCCAACCTGAACTCGTTCAAAGCTAAGCCATGGAGCCACACTCTAGCAGTGCTCAGATAAGCATTGATCAAAAGAACATTTGCCACTCTTGTCATAATTCTATGGTGTAACACCATATCTATGTTTGCTTTCAACTGTCTTGAGTTTTTATTAATTCCAAATAGACCTGCTTGTGTGGTTTCCGACAGTGTATGACAAATGGTAACTTGTGTTTGCAAAACAATCTGAGCACCTCTGGTCAAATTACTTGTTTTGTTGAAGTGAAAAAAGTTAACACAAGCACTGCATGCAACTAAATGTGACATATTTCTGCACATTTTAATGCACCATTATTATTTATGCACTGAATTTAACATATTAGAAAAAAAGTAAAACATAAAATGGCATGTGTGTTTGGGCTGGCATGGCTGTTGAGTTTAAGCATAACACCCTGAGAGGTTTGAAGGGTCACATTATGCTCTGTAAGCCCTGAGACCTTACCAAAACACTGAAAGGGTGCCTTGCAAATTTTATTTTAGATTTTTTTTAATATATTCAATTCATCACATAAATAGTAATCTTGCATTAAAATTAGTAGGAATGTGTTATATATAAGCTTGTGCCACGCAGATGTTGTGTGTACATTTTTGTTAGAAAATAAATAAAATGTGATTTATGCAGGGGTGCCCAAACTTTCTGTATCTCTAACTGCATCTGCAACTGAATTCTACTTTGAAATACCTTCCTGGAGATCTTCCTGTCGAGTCTAGTTCCATCCACAATTGGCCACACTGTCTCCAGCTGCTTAACTTCTTTGGGAATAATTTATTGGCTGCATTAGATGAATCAGTGTTTGGTAAGTGAGGGTGTTAGCATGTTAGATGCAGGTTGTAACTACAATCTGTAGGAAAGTACAATCCAAATTCCAGAAAAATTGGGACAGTGGGAAAAATACAAATAAAAAAGGACAGCAATGACTTCTTTTTGATATTCTTTTTGTAAATCCTTTTTCACGTGTTCTCAATTTAAAACAATACAAAGACAAGATATTTAATGTTTTAACTAATTAACTTTTTGTTTTTGTTTATATACACATTTTACATTTGACTAAAAAAGTTGGAAACATCTTGCAGGCCCTCTTGGTCATAACACTCCATTTCTGCCCGACCATGATAGCATAATCTGTGACCTGTTCACCTGCTTACCTGTGGAAAGTTCCAAAATATGTGTTTTTGGTCTACATTACTGTAAAAGACTGTTAGCAAATCACTGCTTTCTGTTTTCATTTGTATTTTACCTACTGTCCCAACTGTTTTTTTAGAATTGTGTAAAATTGAAAAGGTTTGTTGAGATCTGACCCCTGTGTGAGTCTCATGGCCATATGTCGGACTTGAAAAGTATGCAGCTACATTTGGGGCAAGAGGAAAACTGTATAAATTAGATTCTTTCCCAAAACTACGCATTTAAAAAGAGCTCAGTATTAAACTGTACTAATCTACGCAACAATTCCCAATAATTTAAATCCCAATAATTTATGGACTTTTGTAACATTAAGATTACAAACAGAGATTCTCAAACTCATAAGTACAGTCTGTAAACCCATTACAATGAAGGTTCATACCACACATTTGAGCCACTCTGCAACCACACTTAGAGCTTCATCATTCTTCCTGCACTGCAGCAGTCCTCCATCCTCATGGAACAGACAGTCCACTGTGAGTGTATTCTGTCTGTCCACAGCTCTGCTGCTGTCTGATACAGTCCACTCTGGATCAAATGTGTGATGGAGCACCACTAGAACAGCAGGTTTATCTGCAACTGTAGCAAAAATGAACATCTGAACATATAAAAAAGTGTTGATTGCAGACATTTATTATGTAAATAAAATATATTAATTATAGAAATAAACGTGTTTGATCAGTGCCTGCACCTTTTTCGTTGAGGGTCTGCAGTGCCGCTGCAATGTCTGTTCCAGCTCGTGAAACAACAGGACAGACAACTAGAATGGCTTTACACCTCTCCAGTGGAGACTCCTTCAGGAAGCGTCTTCGCTTTAGAAGTTCATTCTCAAACTCTTTCCAAGGTTGTCTGATCTTTTCAGGCACAATCGTGTAGCATTTAACTTTTTTAGGGAGACAAGATGTGATAGATTAGATAGAATACTGTACTCTATGTTAGTGGTGGGCAATATGACAATATTTTATCATTATTGTGATAAATTATGTCACAGCATGCTTTTTTGAGCATATCATGGATACTGTCAGTACTTCAAGAACACTTACCAACTGCATGTCTCATTACAAAGAAAGCATAATTGGTGCTGTTTAATTGGATTTAATGCAGTGCAGTGTGTGAAATGTTTAATACAAATCATTGCGTTTACTGTATAGTATTGTTGATAGTTATTTTTTTTAATGTAGCGTTATTCATGCATTTTGGCTGTTTTCATGTATCACATAATCAAATGTCACACATTGTGTATCGTTATACATTCCTGCCATATTGCCCACCCCTACTCTCTATCTCTTCTGTAATGACACTTTAACACACTCTGTTCCATAATGACACTTAAAAAGAAGGATCCAGATGTACGACACTGGAAAAAAAAACACACAGTATATTCCATAACCCTTTATGACTCCATGTGAAATATTAACAGCCATTGAAGTCTACATACAGTCTCACACTACAGCAGGAGTCTTATTGTAAGTGAGAATTATAAGTCAGATGAAGCAGAGAAGGAGCCTATACAGAACTGAACACCGACTCTTTTTTACAGTGCATTGGCAAAAAAAATGTAAACAATAAAACTTACTGTTCAAGCCTTTAACAGGGAGTGAAGAGGGTATTTTCATTTCTGCTATTCTTTTGCTTTCTTGATGTGGACCACCTATATAAATAAAAAAATGACTTCAACAGAAGCACAATTTGCCATGTGTGCAGTGGTTCTTTGTTAAGATCCAAAAATCATCATTTTTCTTTTGTATTCAGGATACTTTCACATAATTCATGAAAATAATTTTGAAATTCTCTAACATAATCTTATGTTAAAAAAATTAAATGTGTTTTTTAAATGAAAAAACTTTGTTCAAAAATATGTCACTACTGAAACAGAAAGACTTTTAGTCCATAGGTCAATTGCCAGACTTACCCACACCACAAAATTTAAGTTAAACATTAAAAGCACATCATATTTCAGGAAGTCTTCAAGATACCATGTTAACAAGGTACCATGAAGGAATGTTATACATTTGTTAAATCGGTCAAAAAAAAATTGGTAGCTGAAATTTGATAAAATATCACTTGTTTGCACAAGATTAGAATACATCTAGAATACATTAGAATACATTCTATATGGCATCATTGTGAGTAAACGGTCTTCACTCTCCCACATTGTGGCATCAATTTTGCTGCTCAGAAGGCTTTATTGGGGTCAAAATCTTGCGGAAAGGTCCACTCAAATTTGAAAACCCCATGATTCAACTAACCTGTGAAGTTCTGTAACTGTGAAACTATCATCTTCATCCTCAATCATCATCCTGCTTGTGCTTAATGGTAATGGCTACGAATAATTCTTGATACCATTTCCTAGTCTGTGCAGGTCCATGAACCTCTGTCACTGGAACTGAGAGCTCTTGGTTTTACTCATGTTGATGAATAACAAAAAGATTTGACATTTGTGTGATCTCACATTCCTGGAGACTAGGAGCAATAACAATAACATTTTTTGCCTCAAAATTCTTTGGTTTTATTTAAATATTCTTTAAAGATACCAACAATTTGGCACCATATGTATTTGAATGAATTCACTGTTCTTAAAATAAAACCACTTCCTTGCAGGAATGATTTCTATTAAATGGTAAGCAATTTCTAATATTTTTATATCAATCATTATATGTATTATTTATTTTCTATGAATGTTTTGCCAATAATTTTGAAGATAACCGTACATAAAACCAGTGGCATGGTGAAAGAGGTAGTTGAAGAGGTCATTCAGAGAGGAGATTCACAACACACAATAATCTGGCGAATCACAGCGAATCTGCTTCAAAATCAACCCAATTATCCTATAGTGTGGCCAAGCATTAGAGACATATGAGTGATGTTTTGAAATGTTATTACAAAAAATTTTTAAGTTTAAAAGTAAAAAAATTATAAGTAATTATAATAACGCATTAATTTGTATCATGTTACCCTAACACTGATTTTCACATACAGAAGAAATGATTATAATAGCAGGAACATTTTCCAGAAAAGTTGGGATATTTTGTAAAATGCAATGGAAACAAGGATCTATGATTTACTAATTCCCTTGAACCTTTATTTAACTGATAACAGTACAAAGAAAAGATTTCCAAAATGTTCACTGACCAACTTAACTGTATTTTGGAAATATAAACAAATATAGAATTTGTTGGGACAGAGGCATGTTTTCCACTGTGTTACATCACCTTTCCTTTCAATTACACTTTTTAATCCTTTGGGAAATGAGGATACTAATTGTTGCGGTTTTTGCAAGTGGAATTTTTGTCCATTCATGCTTAATACAAGACTTCAGCGGCTAAACAGCCTGTGGTCGTCATCTGATTCTCCTCTTCATGATGCGCCATACATTTTCAAAAGGAGACAGATCTCAACTGCAGGTAGGCCAGTCAAGCACATGCACTGTATGTCTATGAAGCCACGCTGCTGTAGCACATGCAGGCCTGGCATTGTCTTGCTGAAATAACTATGGACTTCGTGCAAAAATATGTGGTCTTGATGGCAGCATATGTCACTGTAAAATCCTGATATAGTCCTTTGTGTCAATGACACCTTCACACATATGCAAGTCACCCATGCCATGGGCGCTGAGGCACCCCCACACCATGACAGATGTTGGCTTTTGCTGACAAAAGTCTGGACGGTCCCTTTCATCTCTGGCATGGAGAAATCTATGTTTATCTAACTGTTTTTCCCAAAAACAAGCTGAAACGTGGACTCATCTGACCACAGCACACATTTGCACTGTCTTTCGGACCATCTGAGATGAGCTCAGGCCCAGAGAACTCGTCGGCATTTCTGCATAGAGTTGATGTGTGGCTTTCATCTTGCATAACAGGGGTTTCAAGTTGCATTTCTTGATGCAGCGGTTAACTGTGTTAAATCACAAAGGTTTTCCAGAGTACTCCCAAACCCATGTGGCTGTATTTAACACAGTTTCTAAAGCAATGCTGTCTGAGGGCTCGAATGTCACACACATTCAACAGTGGTTTCTGGCCTTGCCCTACATATTGCCCTGATATTTCTCTGGATTCCCTGAATCTTTTCACAGTACTATGTACAGTAGAAGGTGAAAGACCTAAATTCTTCGCAATCTTGCATTGAGAAATGTTCTTTTTGAACTGTTGACAATCCTCTCACAAAGTTTGGCACAAAGTGTTGAGCCATGACCCGTCTTTGCTTGCAAAGACTGAGCCTTTGATGGATGCTCCTTTTATACCCAGTCATGGTACCTTCACCTCAGTTCACCTGCTTATTGTGTGATGTTTCACACATTCTTGCTTTTATTGCATTTTACAAAATGTCCCAAGTTTGCCAGAAACTTTTGTACGAAAGATCAATTGCAGTTGCTTGTTAAAAATAAAGAATTTGTTGAAATGTTGTTATTGTCATGGTTCCAGGCACAGAGGGTGGAATTGTTCAGCTTTACTTAGTGCATAGGCATACAGGCCAACTAAGGGTGGACAGGCCACAGGGGCTTTGATTCCTTGAAAATAAAGGGGGGTCCCAATACTATAGCAAAAAAAAAAAAGAAAAAAAAGCATCGTAGTGTAGCTGCTTAGAACAGCCTAAAAACAGTTGCTTTAGTGAAACTAAACTTAACAGTAAGGATTTTAAGCATGAGGTGTCCCTGGATCTAAGTAGATTATTTTATTTTCTTATTTTTATTTTCACATTTTTAGGTTTCAGCTGGAATTTACTTTGAATTATTGTGTTTGCTGATGTCTTGATGTGGATTATTTATGTTTCGAATCTGACATTAACACAATTCTCCCACTCAAATTTTGAGCTTATTTGCATTTTTTTCCACTGAAAACATACACATTTTTAAAGAAGTACTTGAATTTGGGTGTCTGGCACAGCAGTCCCTCAACTTGCAACATGGGCAGGTGTCACATTATACCTGACTCTTAGGAAAATAATGCTGTGGACTTTGACCCACAGAGGTGCTACAGCATGTACATACTGTCTCAAAAATAATCAGACTCCATCCAGCCCTCTCTAAATCTGTGCAGTATATCTCTCAGATGCAGTGTACAAAATATATCTCACTGTCATCAATAGGGGGAGATATAATGTACTATAGTAGCTCAAAATCATGAACTTCTAAGATTCCATGAACTTCACAAGATTTGGTATGCATTACTGACATAGTAAGTCATCACACTCTGTTATGAAGAGACACAGAGATCATGAAATACTTTCAAAGCTGCAAGAGAACCATCAGTGTTGAAATATATGTAAAGACTGTACAATGTCTGATCTTTCTCAAACCTGACTTACATTTCCTGTATGTGCCACCCTTTCACTGCTGTTTGTGGGTATATATTGTAATTGTTACTGTTTTACCACTCTTAACATTTGAAACGCTGAGGTGTTTTCAAAAGACAAAATGTTATATGACTTTTTCCTGAAGTGTGTTTTTTTTGTGTGGTAAATATTTTAAGCTTTGGTAACAAAGAATAGTGGAAAACAATTTGGGCTTTTTCAGTTTGCACTGCATCTGGGTGAGATTTTTAAACAGACTTGACTTGAAGTAGATATTAGCTACAAGATAACTTGCCACATGGGCAGCACTTTTTTAATAATATATACAATATATTGCAAAATGAACATGAACCTATTTAATTACCTTCTTCTCTGAGTCATTATACAAAATATATAATTCATATTCCATACTTACATGGCTGTAATGATTGATGTCTCACCTGTGAAATAAAACCTCAGACGTATTATTATTGTTTTTCAAACATAAAAAGATGCATCTTACGTAGTGTCAGAATTACAGAAAGAATTAGTTGCTTTGCTCCAGAACATCTTCAGAATACTGATATATAAAATTAAATATCATTTTTGTGGACATTTTTGTCAGTGTTTAACATATCACTATTTTCATTTTCAAAATCTAATTTTTCCCTCACCCCAAGCTCAGATATGCTTGATTTGGTTTGGCAAATCTGCTTCTTTGGTTTCACACTGGTTTTCACAGTGGGGCAACAAAGCTAATGAAACCTTAGGGTTTCACACTGCGAACTGGTGGACATGAGTTTCCATTACTTGTTAACTTTAAAAAAATGCATAAATCATAGCTTTTTTCCTCAAACTACTTTGAGTTAAGTGGTCTTAAAAAGACTTGCCTATGTGATTTCTAACATTATATAATATTCTAATAACTATATCTATTACAAAAAAGCACTGCTTTGCTATAAACTAGATATGGAATCACTGGTATCGGAAGATAATAGCTTAAAAATGTAGACATCAAACAGTTTAGTTATGTTTAGGTTCAACATATATTTAAAAAAGAGTGTATTGTACTCTGCAACACTCTTAAAGGTAACAGTTCATGCCCTAATGGTTTCTGTTCTTTACACATTTTGTGTTAAACAGTCCCATAACAGTAGCAGCAGCCATCTTGAAGCCTCAAAGTTGTCCACACTTTTGTCCATGTTTCTAGATATTGCTGCTGTACAGAATCAGGAACCTCATTGTAAGTCTATTATAGATTACTTGACAATTTAGATTAACACAGATTAAGGCAGGTGTGTACTGATTTAGGCAGGCGCGTGAACATATTGGCTATCTTGGAACTATATTTATTGTAAGGGGAAAACTGTCGAAATTGTGTACTTTTTTTTTTTTTAACCAAAGTACACCTTTAAAAAAGAGTGTAGCCAATATCTAGCCAGTCTGCTAATGCATCTTTTTCTTAATCCCAAAAATTTACAAATTTTGTAAAATTAAGATTGCAAACAGAGATTCTCAAGCACATTTTACTTTAGGTACAGTCTGTAAAGCAGTGTTCTCCAACCCTGGTCCTGGAGAGCTACCTTCCTACAGAGATTAGTTCCAACCTGTATCCAATAATTTGCCCTGCCCCCTTAATTAACACTAATACATCCAATCCAGCCAATCAGAAACTTAGGAAGAGGTTGATTAGCTGGACCAGGTGTGGCAAAGTGTGGTTGGAACTAGGCTTTATAGGAAGGAAGCCCTCCAGGACCAGGGCTGGAGACCACTGATTTAAAGACATTACAATAAAGGTTCATACCACACGTCTGAGCCACACTGCAACCTCGCCTAGAGCTTCATCATTCTTCCTGCACTGCAGCAGTCCTCTATCCTCATGGAACAGACAGTCCACTGTGAGCGTATTCTGTCTGTCCACAGCTCTGCTGCTGTCAATGCACTCTGGATCAAATGTGTGATGGAACACCACTAGAACAGCAGGTTTTTCTGCAAATACAGCAAAACGATAGAACATTTGAATTTAAAAGAAAGTTTGGAATTTAGACATTTATTATATTAATAAAATATATCCATTATAGAAATAAACCAGTAGAATCAGTGCCTGCATCTTTTTCACTGAGGGTCTGCAGTGCCGCAGGAATATCTGTTACTGCTCGTGAAACAACAGGACAGGCTACTAGAATGGCTTTACACTTGTCCAGTGGAGACTCCTTCAGGAAGCGTTTTCGCTTTAGAAGTTCACTCTCAAACTGTTTCCAAGGTTGTTTGACATTTTCAGGCACAATTGTGTAGCATTTAACTACTACAGGGAGACAAGAAATAATAGATTAGATCTTTCATGCTACACATCTTTATAAACTGTTCCTTAATGACAATTAAACAGCAGTAGGATTCCAGTGTAAGATAATGGGAGTAGCAGACACACAGTACATAGTCTACAACCCTTCATAATGCCTAGTTGAGGGGGGACCCTCCCAATGCCCCCATGCTTGTAAGAAGCATTGCAATTATGGTTATGTGCCCTCTAGAGCAAGTAAATTCAATAACATGACCCATGATACAAACATGACAAAACCCATTTTTTTTGTGCCCAATCAGGTGCTCCTCTGATGGAGAAGTGCCTCTCCATTGGATGAAATGATGTGGCGATGTGATGCCACATAGGTGCCCTCACAATAACTTGACATATTCCCTACAGGTGCCTTGATAAAGTCTTCCCTACGACGTGCCCTCTAGGACAGGCTTTCCTAAAATGGGTACCGTCAGAACAGTCAAGGGCCAAATATTTAGAAAAGATTTTAAATTTACTTTTCAAACTCTGCTTACACTCAAAACATATTGTTTGGCTTCTAACACATCTTTTCTGCATTTGATAGTAAAAGACAAATTGTTGCCAACAATTACACAAAGTTTAAAATGGTAATTCCTGCTGTTAAACTCTTACATTTATTCCATCTGTTTAAGTTTTGAGTTTTAGCCACACCCCCTCTAGAATGTTAAAATGTCAGAGGGGGCTTAAAACAGTCTGAGCTGTAACCCTGATGTCCTACTACAGTCTGTGAGTGAGGTAATACAGCAAGTTTTCACTGAGCTTAAAAATACTGAGTTTTACCCATGATGCTTTAAGGAGCTAGCTACTAAATAGGTAGCTTGCTTAGCTAATTTTGGAAATCAAGCAGAAGTGTAAAAGTCCTTCCCTAAGGGATTTATTTTAGGGTAATTTGTCCGAGAGGACCCATACCCACAAAGTGCCCACAGGACTTTAAAGTTGCCAAGGAGAGAAGGTAGGTAAGGATAAAGGTATGTTGTAAGTCTTCTCATTGCTAGATATGTACTGACTTGTCTCGCAGAGCCCTAGATCGGATTATCAGAGTCTGGTGCATATGCATCACTAACATGGTCAAGAATGCTCATACAGTCTACTGCAGTGTGCAGGTGCAGATATGACTTACTTATCATGGTGATTTCCTGGAAAGAGAGATTGAGAATGGCTGTTAACACGAGAAAACATGATTAACCTTCATCAAAGTTTTATAGCAAACAGACACATCATGTACATTTAAAACTTACCGGCGGAACCAAATGAGTCAGATCTGGGATTATCAGCTATTAACTTATAATATTCCTTAAAAAACTCTCACAGTATTACGCTTTTTAAACACGGTTGAAAATGAAAACCGACCGCAAAAACAACACAAAACCAAAAACTACATTCTACTTTCGCTTTCTCACGCAGCTGCGTCAGGTCACGTGTTTATTCAAAAGATCTCTCCACTGATCTGCGTGCCACCACAAGCGTCCTTAAAACCTTCCTCGAGTAAAAATCTCGGTACTTTTTTTGATAGAACTCTAACACCTTTAAGTCTCGGTACTTCAGTGTAATAAAGTTAGCTTGATGTTCATTGTTTGTCAGATATTCGCCCAACTTTGAACTTCAGTAGTTACTCAAAGGGTCGACCTGTTTGCGTGACTGCTTAATGGAATGCATGAGAAGAAAAGAGAAACTCGATTAGCCTGTCTATTGTCCTCCTTCAGGAATTTAAAGAATGGTGAGGCTTTCTGGATGGCCAGTGTTGCAAAACAGCTGCAGAAATGAATGAACTGCTGCCCTCAAACCAAACCTAATGAGTTTGACTGAGTGGCAGAACCAACAACAACCTTTAGAGTGTTTAATAATGACGGCTGTTGTGAAGCTTTTCGAAGCATCAACACAGTTGAACCAACGGTATCGGAAATACTTCAGTATTTTAAAATATGTGACACCAGGCTCAATGCTACCATCTACTGTCCAGTTCAGTTTCCTACAATGACTGTTTCCTACTGATTGTCATATTTCCATTGAAGCTTATTCACACAAATAAACCTTTATTGCAACACAAATGTGTGAATTTGATGATCTGAACATTTAAAAATACCACTGACACATGATTTCCCATCATATGTTAAATATGGACAAAGAAAATAATACTAAAAATAACTTTATTCACCCATTACATTGGCTTCTCATCACACATACATCATAAACTTCCTAAGTAATGAAGTCATATTATGATATTTGTGGTAATGTAAATAATTATAATGCTGTGAAGAAGCACTGAAGAGGTATTAATTGAGAATGATAGAGTTTGGTCACATATCATAAATCTCAATTTATTTTGGCTGTCTAAATGAAAGTGATTCCATACTCTTTCCTGAGCCTCTATGATAGTTCTGTTTAATTAATGGAACAATCTTTGTGATGTTTTCTGTTCGTGTACGTGTCACTCAGTCTTTCAGGGTTTCTCAGTCTCTCAGGGTTTCCTTGAGAGAAAAAGTGGGCATAAATGGGTTCAGACACAAAAATAGGTCAAATATAGATGTCTTTTTATTTATGGATCAGTGTACAAACAATGCATAAATAATATATAAAATATTTAAAATACAACAACTGAAAACAACAAATACTGTTTTGGAGTTCACCAGTTTAACTCCATGGAAGAAGCCTGGAGTAACTGAATTGGTTTCAGTGATGTAACGAAGCTTAGTTGGCGGTTATCACGTGACTCCAGCGTTTAAAGCGAGGCACCAAATCATTGTATTGATACAATTCACAACATGAAGGGTCGACACTGATTGGATGCTTTGATATTGAGTATAAAATCTCTAATGAAGTGAGTGTCAGTCAGTTGCTGGCAGCCAAGCAAGTTAGAAGTGGCGAAGCTTAGAGTGACGTGTTAGAACAACCTCTCCTTGTGTGAGGCAAGGCTGGAGCTAAATACAGCCGTAAAAATAGTCAGACAATGTGGAAGAGATTTCACTGATGGAAAGATCCCTGAGTCTCAATCCATGTTGAAACTCTGCTGAAAGCTTCATCATTCTTCCTGCACTGCAGCAGTCCTCTATCCTCATGGAACAGACAGTCCACTGCGAGTGTTTTCTCTCTGTTTACTGATCTGCTGCTGTCTGGAACAATGAGCTCTGGGTCAAATGTGTGATGGAGCACCACCAGAACAGCAGGCTTAGAACCTGTAAAACAAAGATGTTTTAGTTTAACTTTTACTATTTCAAAAACTTAGATATCATAGGGGAGTCTGAATAACTAAAAAAGAAACAAAAATACTTTTGGACTCAAAAATGCCAGAGAAATATTTCAGAGCATGAGTTTCTTACACCACACAGTGATTTCAGAGCATTGCCACTATCACTACCAGCAAATCTGTTGTAATAAGTATCCATATGTGCATTACCAGACATATCATTAAGCTGTCTCAGTGCTCTTTCAGTGTCAAGTCCAGCCAGTGATACAACAGGACAGAAAGCCAGAATGACATCACACTCCTCCACTGTAGGCACCTCCTGCAGTTCTGCTCTTCGTTTACAGAGAATTCTCACAAATTCCTCATGAGAGCCCAGAGTTTTCCCAGTAACACAAGTTAAAAAATTAAGCTTTCCAAGACGGAGTTCGACTTGTGGCAGATCTGGAAAAAGAGTCTAATAAATTGGTTTGAACATCTGAAAAAATAAGCAAAAACATGACTGCATTCTACTCAGAGAATCAACAAAGAACGGTGAAGATTTGATATGTATTACTGACATAGTAATATTTCATACTCTGTTATGAAGAGATGCAGAGATAATTAAATATTCAATTCCTTGTCAAGCTACAAGAGAACCACCAGTGTTGGAATATTCAGTGACTGCACTCTTACGTCTGATCTTTCTCAAACTTGACTTACATTCCCTGTGTGTGCCACCCTTTCACTGCCGTTTATGGTTATATTTGTAATTGTCACTGTTTTAGCACTCTTAACATTCAAAACGCTGAGGTGTTTTGCAAAAGACAAAACGTTACATGACATTTTTCCTCATGTGTGTTTTCGTATTCTAAGCATTCTAAGTTTGGTAATAAAGACTAGTAGAAAACAATTTGGGCTTTAAAGAGGGTCCAACATTTATATTTAGATTTTATATTCCATACTTACATGGCTGTAATGGTGGTTGTCTCTTCTGTGAAGTAAAACATCAGACATAGTATTATTCTTTTGCAAACATATGAAGATGCGTCTTATGTGGCATCAGAATTACAAAAATCCTTATTTGCTTTGCACCAGAACCTGTTCAGAATACTGATATATGAAATGAAATATAATTCTTGCGGGCATTTTTGTTAATATTTAACAATTCATTATGTTATTTGAAAAAATCAAATTTATTTATTTATTTTCCCCTCACCCCAAACTCAGATATGCTTGATTTAATTTGGGAAATTTGCTTCTTTAGTTCCACACTGGTTTTCACAGTGGCGCTAAAACTACTACTTGATAGCTTGCCTAAATTATAGGTGTTATTTAAACTACGTTAAGTTGTTAAGTAGTTTCCGATTTGTTTATGTGATTTCTAGAATTGTGTAATATACCATTAACTGTATCTATTAAAAAAATTACAAAAGAGCACTGCATAGTTAAAAACTAGGAATGCACAATGATATCGGGATCATTGGTATTGAGAAATAACAGCTTAAAAAATATAAAGAGACTGAGGTTTGACCTTGATTTAAGAAACAG